CTAATCACACTGAGGTATGAATGACTTAGAGAACCAACCAGTCTCTAATTTTAGACCACAAAGCAGTACAACGAAGGTGATCCTGATAACAGCTGACATTTCCTGAGCATTTACTAAAGACCAGACTCTGTATGTGGTATCTCATTTAAATCCGACAAGCCAGAGTGACAGAGGAACTTTGTAGGCCACGTGGTGGAGGGAACTTTAAGGCTTAGCAGCATTGGGCAAGTTCCCGTAGGTCACAGGAACCAGAGGCTTCAAAGTCTCCAAATGGCTTCAGGATCCAGCCAATATCCTCTTCCATCCTACCTTATTAACATAATTAACATTCCCTTAACTCCTCCCCATTTCTGGGCCCAGCTCCTCCCCATTTCTGAGCCTACCTCCAGTCCTGCTTCTTACTTTTCAGGTGAGGCTGTACCATGTACAAAACAAAGGCCCCCAAACTTCTGCCAATGACGAAAAGGACCATCCACTTGCTCTAGATGTCCCTATTTAACCAATCGGTTAGCATCTTCGGAGCTGGGCTGAATTCAAAACAGCTATGACTGACCCTGACCCCACCCCCCCACAATATACCCCGTCAAACCTCTCACTAAAGTTACTCAAGAATGCCAGCCATGCCATTATGGTCTGGTTGTCCTACAGCACGGCTGTCAGCTCTTGGGAAATGGTCATCTACCGACAACCAAAAGTTGAGACAACCCTACCTTACAGGCCATCTCCAAAGGCTGGGTGAGACACAGCAGGCTGAGGCACTGGATTATACTCCTTTCAAAAAATCTTTCTTTCTATATATCTTTTATTGGCAAGCCAACTGAATATTATTCTCACTAGAATAATGTCCTTTTACTCTTGTACTCTTGTAATGAAGAGGGGAACTCCTCTTTACCTTCTGAACTATGCTAAGGTATTACATTTTTGTTTAGAGACAGGGTCTCACTCTGTCACTCAGGCTGGAGTTCACTGGCGAGATCATAGCTGACTGAAGCCTTGGATTTCTGGGCTCCAGTGATCCTCCTATCTCAGCCTCCTGAGCAGCTGGGATTACAGTCGTGTGCCACCATACCTAGTTCATTTTTTTTTATTAAGTAGAGACAGGGTTTCATACACCTGCCTCAAGTGCTCCTCCCACTTTGGCCTCCCAGAGTGCTGGGATTATAAGCATGAACCACAGTGCCTGGCCTCTGCTAAGGTATTACCTTTTTTGGGAAACTTTACTGTACCTCCTCTGATCAGAATCAATCACTTCCTTCCCTCTGCCCACTGCAACTGCATATTGAGCTCTGCCATAGCAGGCAGTGCAGCTCACTGACCTATCCCAAAGTAGCTCTCAGGCATCATCATGTCTGCTAGACTGAAATGACTTTGAGAACAGAAACAGGATCTTCATAGTTCTTTACCACAGAGCACACAGACAGGCATTAAGAACATGCTCTGGAATCCAGCAGACCTAAGTTTACATCCGACTTCTGACACTTACTAGTGTGTGACTTTAAATGTAAACCTCCTAAATTTTTATCTTCTATAAATGGGGAAAAAAAGAGAGCTTATTTCATAGGGCTGTTGTGAAGCTTAAATGAAATAATGCATGAAAACAAAATGCCTTGAAGACAGGTAGCTGGAATAATTTGAAAATAAATTTTCATACATATTTACAAATTGTTTGTCCTAGTGTTCTCTGTCTCAACAAATGGCTGAGGAAACAGAGCCTGGCCTGTTTCCAGGCTCCCGGTGCTTACAAAGGCCGACCCACCTCTGTCCCCTCTAAATGAGTTGGAAAGGAGAGGAGGCTTGAGTTTCTTTGGGGCCTATTCAACTTGTTTATGTGAAACTCATTGGTTTATTCGCCTGGTGCAGGGCCCAAGTCTATTTTCTGTCAACTCTACTACTATTATACCCAGACTTCGTTTTCTTTTTTGAAGTGTATGGTTCATAGTTTCAAACCTTGCCTTCAGGAAAACACATACATGTGTGGGTATGTGCATATGCATAAAAGAGAGAAACCACAAAATATATATATATATATAAAAGTCCATATCCAGCGAATTGGAAAAAGCAGATATTTCTGCATCTCCTATAACTATTAAGTATGTTTTTGTTATAAATGTGGCATTCCGGAAGCCCCTTTCCCACATTCTCAGGTGAGTTCAGTGATGGCCAAGGTTGCCAGACTCTCTACTTGTTCTTCCTATGCCGATATTCCATTCATCAAAGGATCTACCACCACCACCTGAACTAGTTGCTCCTTTTCCTGAAACTCAAACTGCTACCACATAGAAGATGCATTGACTGTAATCTTGCCCTCTTGCATAGCTCGCGGATTTCTTTACTGAAATACATTTCTTGGAAAAGTAATGAGTTCAGGGCTTTTAAAGTTTGACTTTTTAAAATCCTTAGTTTGGGTAATAAGGAGAAAATTAGAGTTGTAGACAGCAGCTAAGCTAAAAATTACACATTTCCAGAGCGGATGGACATACACACAAAGTAACTTCAGATGGAATGTTTAGTTTAAATATGTATCTATCGAGCCACTCAAAGCTTTGCAAATTAATTCAAAGCAACACGTTAAACCCTTAAAAAAAATCTATGAAGAAATGACAACAATCATAAGCCACAACAGAACGTCTGAAAACTGTAGTGTATGACCTCTTGAGAAAAGCCCAACCACAGAGTCTAAGCCTCAGGAAATGCATGCTCTTGGGGTCACCTTCACACTGCCTCCCAGTGACCCAGGCTGACAGGCCACAGGCTATTCATTCCAGTGAAATATCAGCTGCTGGGAGCTAGAAATCAGCCTCTGTCATCTGGGCATCCCTCCACTTGCCCCAGCAAGAAGTGCACACGGCATTCAGTGACCTGATGGCAGAAACACTGAGTCTCAGACGCATGGCTACCTGCATTCATACTATTCCTTTCAGTGCTAGGAAATAAGGCAAGGGTATTTTCCAACAGGGAGGGGTGAAGGTATACAATGTGGTAGTTACTTTAAAAGCTGTGTAAACAATGTGCTTTAATTGTTCAGAATTAGAAATATTCTTAAATAAATGAAAAGATGCATAATTTCTGAACGCTGATTTCTGGTTACCTGCTGATCAAAATGTAGAGAATAAAAATTACATTTCATCTGAAATTTCATTAAATGTTTCATCATTTTTTGAGACAACAAAAAATATAATTTGAAACCAAAATTTTCAGATCCCAACCAAATGTTTTAGACAGCTGGGAAGGAGATTTTTCTCAGGGGCACTGAAATGTGCTATACCTTAGCAATAATTCTTTCCTGACTCTGGGAAAAACATGGAAAAGAATTCATAGCAAAATATAAACAGAGACATTGGAAGCTGTAGAAAATGTCTTTCCTAAGCAAATAAAAATAACCCCTAGACTTAGTTTGAAATGTTGGCATCATCTTCCCTCCCAGCCTATGTGAGGGGTTTCTCTCTGGCCCTGTACCAATGAGCCACACTCTGGTCTACTGTACTTCTCATGCAACAGCTGGAAAAGCATTCCAGATCTACCCTTGGGGTTCTTGGACTGGGATGAGCTGCGTGCAAGGCAGGAGCTGGGCTGCAGCATATGCAGACTGCAAGAGCGGCACATCCCTCTCAATTGCGAAACCCTTCACGATGTTTCTGCTCTGGCTCCACAAACAACCAAGAAATCAGCACGTTCAGGCAGCCACTGACTCTTTAAAGGGGCTGAACATAGTAACACTTGGCCTCTCAGCATGTCTCCTCCTTTCCTTGCACGCAGTGGATGGGTCTGAGAAATCAGTAACAGGCTGCCTTTTCTTTGGTGTTGGTCACTGCTCAAAGGGCAAGTTCTCAAAAGTTATTTAACACAGTTAAAACTCACGCCATTATCCTTTAGAGCAAGAGATTCCATATTTACAGTGATTAATTTTTCAGTTCACAAACAGAAATGAGTGGTGATTTTAAGACACTACACAAAGGAACAGAGAGAATTTACCATCTTATTTTTGTAAACCCTATTAACATGTAACCCTACTACATATAGATAGGAGGTTTAGAAAGGAATGTTTTTATTGCCATTAAAAACGTTTTTTCTAGCTTTCAAATTTTCTAGAACCTAGGACAGCTCTCTATTGTCACATTAAATACATATACTTCTTCTGGTATTCAAAGCACCCTAATTCTAGCCCCAGACTGGACAAATCATAGGTGCTGAGTATATTTTTCATTGACTAATTTAACTTTTCAGGTGATTGTCTGAAATGATATTAACATCTTAGACAATCTAAACATCCTGGGAGTCAAGGAAATGCTCAACATACACCAATTTTATTAACTTCCCTTCTGACAAGAATCTGTTACACTTCTAAAAGATTCTGATATCCATGCTAAAAGAAGGAAGGAAAAAAGGAATTGAAAGTAACATTAAATGAATGTCTGCCAGATGCCAAGCAATGTGCTAGGTACTTTAAAATATTTTCTCTTATTTTTAGTACTCAGATAAACCCTTTAAAATAAAGTACATAGTATTATATAAATATATGTGAGTTTTCACTCTAGACAGTCTGGTGGGAACATAAAAAGAATGATGAAGTCCCAAATAAAATGTAATCACAACCAAATAAAATGCCCTGTGCCAATAGTTTTGTTGTTGTGATAATGAATGAGGAAACCTTTACAGGCAATTTATCCCACTAATATCAATGGTTGGAACTCATATTTGCAGGTCTCATACATAAGGAATTGGTAGTCTAAATATGTTTCCTTCTGTTCTAACTAATGTTAAACGAAACAAAGCCTAAAGCTTTATAAAATATTATCCTTTAGGAAGACAAATTAATCACCAGGACTTTGAGGCAAGTCATCCACCAAGTTGCAGCAGTTTATGAAGAACCCCACGTGAGACTGCGACAGTTCCACAAAGGCTGTGGCAGTGTCCCCTGATATCCTCCAACAGTACTGACCACCTCAGGTCAAATCACTTACCTGTCATTCAACAGTCATTCAGAGAATACTATTAATTTTGTGCTTGCATCAGCAGCACATATACTAAAATTGGAACAATACTGAGAAGATTAGCATGGCCCTTGCGCAAAGTATAGTATTTATTTAAAGACAAATTTGAAATGCCCAAATAAAAATCTTCAGCATTTGTAATGACAAGAAAAGACACATACATGTCAGCACGTCGGCAGAATCTTCATGGGCTTAGGAAAAAATATACAGTCATCAGCTTTAAGTGACTTTTTTGGTGAAGTGAAACCTACTGTAAAGCAGAAGCACTTACACGGTTTCCTTCGTGCCTCTTACGAAAGGCTACTTTTAAGACATCTTCAAATTAAAATATTAGTATCTAACAATGTGGCCACAGCAAGTTAGATAATGTCCTTTCACATCCTCATCCGTAAAAGCATGTAAGAATAAGTGACCTCTAAAGTCATCTTCAATAACAAAATTCACTAATAGATGTTTAAACATTCCAGGCAGATAGCTATCATTTTTATTTTAAAATATCATTGTGACCTCTCTTAACTTGTTCCATTGCTTAATCTCGTAATATTAATGCTAATAATAAAAGTTTTATGTCTGTCACTAACCATACTCAGTCTTCCTATAGTTGGAGCCAATTTTCTCTAGTTTGAGCCTCCGTGGAGTTGCAGACAAATGACCAGTGTTTTCTACACACAGGAAAACCCTTCATAAACGATATTGGAATCCCGTCATTAACGCACCCTTTACTCTTTTTTTACCGGAATCCCATCATTAACGCACACCTCCAACTCCTTTCATCATGTAGAACCTCTTCTCTAGAATCTCACTAATTATTTTGCATATACAGAGGGTTAAATGAATCTTCCCAATGCCATCAGCTAAAACAATGATTGGTGCTACTGCTATATGAGAGAAATTTGAAGATTTCTTTTAATTTGATTGGTTTGCAGAGACTGCAATTTGTTTTTGCTAAAGCTAATTAATGCCCCTGAATGACCCTCCTCATGTTTCACAGCAACGCTTCATAAAACCAGAAAGAATGAGTTTTAAAAATAATAAAGTACGAGGAAAGTTTTGAAAAATTCCCAAAAATTGTTTTTTTGGCCTCGAAAAATGACACAAAAGAGCAACAGATATTGAGATATTAGCAATAGACTCATTCAAGGTATCTTATCTCAAATGAAAACTGCAATTAGGTAAGTTGAGTCATATTTCAGCATGCCTACAGTATCCCAAACAGAATACTGTCAGTCAGTTTTTAAATACCACCTGAGAAAGTCTGACATCCTCCTTTGGTTATCCCAGTGCCCATGTTTACACTGCCAGTCAAAAAAATACTTCCTTAAGTATAATTATACTTTTTCTTGCTGCAATTTAATTTTTCTGGTTCCACATGCCAGGGAAAGAAAGAAATCTATGTCTATAAGACTTGTCTCCAAAATATATTTGGAATAAGAAGAAAACAAAGCCAGGCATGGTGGCTCCAACTCGTAATCCCAGCACTTTGGAAGATGGAGGCAGCAGGATTGCTTGAGGCCAGGAGTTTGGGACCAGCCTGGGCCAGCCTGGGCAAAATGAGACTCTGTCTCTACAAAAAAATAATAATATGGTGGCATGCACTTGTAGTCCTAACTACTCAGGTGGCTGAGGCAGCAGGATCACTTGAGTCTAGGAGGTTAAGGATACAGTGAGCTGTGATAGCTGTGACTGTACCACTGCACTCCAGCCGGGGTGGCAGATCAAGACCTCATCTCCTACTTAAAAAAAAAAAAAAAAAAAAAAGGGAGGTGGGGGAAGGAGAGCAAACAACGTTACAGAAAAATTGGGCTTCAAACAGACACTTTAGCAAGGAAGATATGTGAATGCCAAATACATGTAAAGATGCTCAACACCCTTAGTTGTTACTGAAGTTTAAAACCACAGTGAGATAGTACTATATACTCACTAGAAAGGCTAAAGTTAAAAAGACTGAGCATACCAAGTGTTGGCTAGGATATGGAACAACTAGAATTCTCATACTCTGCTAGTGGGAATGTATAATCACTTGGGAAAACAAATGGGCAGTTTCTTAAAAAGTTAAATATATACCTATCACTCACCTCACCTGCTCAATTCCTGTGTATTTACACTAGAGAAATGAAATCCTAAGTCCATATAAAGACTTCTGCATGAATGTTCCTAGCAACTTATTTGTTGCTAGGTGATGGACACAACACAAATGTCATTCAACAGGTAAGTACACAAACAAATTGCGGTATATCCATACAATGGAATACTGTTTGGCAATAAAAAGAAACAAGCTATGGATACACATAATGACATGGCTGAATCTCAAAATAATTGTACTAAGTAAAAAAGCCAGACAAAATAGAATGCATCCTGTATGATTCCATTTACATAAAATTCTAGGAAACGTAAATTAATCAACAGTGACAGAACATACAACCACCACTGCCGGGGAGGGGAGGTTGAGTAAGGATTACAGTGGGTGATGATTAGGTTCATTACCATGACAGTGATGATGGTTTCATGGGTATATAAAAATATCAAATTATGTACTTTAAACATGTGCAGTTCATTTTACATCAATTATGCCCCAATAAAATTGTTTTTAAAAGAATAACCTTTCAGCCGGGCGCGGTGGCTCAAGCCTGTAATCCCAGCACTTTGGAAGGTTGAGGCGGGTGGATCACAAGGTCGAGAGATCGAGACCATCTTGGCCAACATGTTGAAACCCCGTCTCTACTAAAAATACAAAAAACTAGCTGGGCGTGGTGGCGCGTGCCTGTAATTCCAGCTACTCAGGAGGCTGAGGCAGGAGAATTGCCTGAACCCAGGAGGCGGAGGTTGCGGTGAGCCGAGATCGTGCCATTGCACTCCAGGCTGGGTAAGAAGAGTGAAACTCCGTCTCAAAAAAAAAAAAAAAAAAAAAAAAAAAAAGAATAACCTTTCATATACATTAGAAAAGTTAACTTATACATCCTGTCTTGTTTTCTTAGCCTCCAGCTCCAACTCCAAAACATCTCAAGTCTTCTCTTCCTCAGATTAAACAAGCCCAGCTATTTCCTTTAAACTTTTACAACCAGAATTATTGTATCCTTGTGCTCTTTTAAAAAGTAAAATCAATAAACACTTAAATCCTAACAGTTAATCACATAAGAATTAAAAAACAAAAAATACTTTTTAGGACAATGTTCTGAATCTTTCGTATGTTCTAGACAGGCTCAGAGAAGTTAGCTGGCTTGCCCAAGCTCACAAAGGGAATGAATACAGAAGCTGGGATTCAAAGTCTGTCTTACTCCAAGGCCTATGCTAGTTCGAGAAACGAGTGTTTTCCATCTCTGATATTTTTACCACCATAAAAATGAACAACAGCATTTACTAAAAGAAATTCAATTTTATTCATTTTAAGTATAACTGACAATTCCAACTATTCAACCAAGTGATGCCAAATTTGTTGGGTCAGCTTTAATAAACTCACTTGCTGTTTTTAGTGGTATGATTTTGCAGTGGTTATTAAGGTAAAAGATTCCCTTCTCCCCATCCTGATTAGATTAAACCTGCTTTCTAATATTTTGAACAGCCTTTTTAATTTGCTTATTCCATCATGAAAAGGTAATTTTCAACTCACACCAGTTTTAGTCACCCTAAATTCTGACAAACAGAAGCGAAATCAGTGGACTAATCTCTAATATATTCCAAACGAATGCACAATGGAGACTGCTGTGCAAAGTTTAAAGATGAAACAAAACTGATTACACACACCTATACCCTGCCACTAATGAAAAATATACCAGTGTTACAAGCATACAATTTCAATGATGGTGGTATCTTTGTTCAGAAGCATGGTATATTGCTAGAGGGCTGAAGCCCTCTAGCATTTAATTAGGTTACTAATTAGGAGAATCACTTTACCTTCAAGTCTTTCCCTGGATGTGACCAAGGCTTAGTATATTAATTTCATGGTGATTGTATTTTAAGATGGGAAACATGTCAATAAAGAATACTGGTCACGCCTTCAAAGTGTCCAGGTGATGACATTTCAGCTGTGGCAGAGTTTGAGACATTAACCAGAAGAAAATACTACTAATTCCCACTGCCAATTTTGATGATCAGGAGATATTTTATGTTGCATTTTAAGCGTAAGTATCATTCAAAGTCTTCACAGGGGGTATACACATGAATATAAAAAGAAGAAAACTAAGTGATATTCTTTATTTCCATTTGAATTCAATCAGTTAACAAATTTAGCCTCAATTCAGTATCATCTTACTCCCCAGCTTTCCTCCTTGCCTATCAAAATAATAATAATAATAATAAAGTCAGTGCAAACTGTATGAGTCACTCTTCAGTCACGCCAAGGCCATAACCTTCAACTCAAGATTAAAAATAAAGTGCTATGTGTGAAATTCAATACTGTTTAACTTTTGGGTGCTAAAATCTAATAAATATAGCATTTCAAAAGAAATTAAACAATCTGGATCACTTGTGTTCATTTTCATGATTTCATCAGCATATTTCTACGGCTTTGACTACATTTGCTAGTATTCAGATCCTGGGTAAACTGGTGGAATTTGGCATCTCTTAGTTTCTAATCTGTATCACCAGCTCGTACAAGTCACAGGAAAGTTCTCCACTCCCCGATCTACTTCAAAGCATTTCATTTATTATTCAAATGGTTCTTCTGACAAAAACATTAGTCAAGAAGAAAGTAAAAAAAATCTTATTTTTTAAAAGACGCACCTTCCACGCCAGACTGCTTTAACTAACCATGCTATTCTTGGCAAAGTCTTTATTTCCTAAAGAATACATTTAATTGCAATTTTTCTTACCTCTAGAAGGTCAGGGCTTGTTTTTACTTGTTTTCACTCAAAGTTGGCTTTTATATATCTGACGTTTACCTTAACTTCTTCCTAAGTTCCTATATTTTCTAGCCTTTTATAAAGAAAATACCAAATTTAAACATGTGAAAGGTATTGAAGTCATAATGAACGTCTCACAACTACCTTTAAATGATGACAGGAATGAGTGCATGAGTTCATGTATACACACTTACAGGGAAAAAAAGAGATATATTTTAATCAGAGTTCTGAGTTTAGGGCATTTGGGGTTAACCGTAAAAACCACTTCATGATCTGAA